ATTGCAGAAAAATCTGACAAAAAAAAAATTCATGAAAAATGAAAAAAATTTCCCATAAGAAATAATGTAAAACCAATTTGTCCGTTTCCCGACACCCAAAAGTTAACAAAAAAATATTATTTTAGAGAATAACTATAGTTTTACATTCAGAAAACAAAGAGAAATAAATATTTAAAAGGGCTAATGAAATGGATAAATGAAATTTAACATAACTTTTTACCTTTATTGAGACTTTTTTTGGTGTTTGGAAGATGGCAAGGAGGGAGAGGGAGGAGGGTTTTTTTTTGAATGGGGAATCCCCTTCCTAAGGATTTCAGGTATCAAGCCCTATCTGGGGTTACTTTCCCCTTTTTTGTTTCTACTGGGACTAGGACCAGCTTGAGTATGGACCCCTGTCACAAAAAAAACTGTTAGAGGGTTTGTTTTAGTGCCCTTTAAGATTTGCCTAAAAGGGAAAAGGCATTTTCATTGTCCCCGACAAGATCAACCACACTACATCATTTATATTTGCTACCCTTCTGAATTCTGTCATGTTTCTCACCCCTTTTTACAAAGGGCTGGGAACCGGAAATTTCTTTGGCCCCATGTGGGTTATTTAGCAGTCCCCACTCAATTAACAACAAAAAAGTTGATTTTACAAAATGTTTTATATGAATGCGCCCCGGGTAAAGTTTCATCGATAAAACAAAACCCAAAAATTCAATGTATGTCAAAGGCCCTAAAATCTGGAATACCCTCCTGAGAACTCTAGAACTGCAGGACACATTCATCACCTTCATAACTACCATTAGAAAACTCTATCTCCCTGATACACCCATCAACTAAATACACGAATACCACTGGTGGTTTCCCACACTTACATCGCTCACTCATTTGACCATAAACAGAAATATTAATATCAGTCTTAAATAATGAATCCTGTGATACTCCAATACTGAAAAAAACTATATACTGTGCCAAAACAAAAGCATTCACATTGCTAAACTCATAAACTAGGATTTAGTCACTTAGCCATAAGACCAATTACATTCAATAATTTGTAATATTTTACAATTAAGAATAAACTAAGTATACGAAATGCCTAGCCATGTCTAAAGCGTTCTAGTGGTACACTCTGTAATCACAATTTTACTACATGTAAACCAAACAATAAACAAATTTCTGTACACCAGCATTGTAATCCTTATAGAGAATAAACTTTGAATTTGAATTGAATTTGAATTTGATATGAAGAGTGGGGGGGTGTTGCCAGGGATGGGGATTTAGTGATTATTCTTATTGCGGCTTTTTTGTTTGGGTTATTATTGCTTTAGGTGTGTTGTTCAGTTGATCCCCAAGCCAAATAGCATAGGGAGGTATGGATAAATAAATGTGAATGGGTATAGTGTGAAGAAGGAGCAGTTTGCGGCACCGTTCAGTATCGTATCTTCGGACGAGGATACCAACCGTTTTCTGGATATTTTTTTGGTTATTGTGTTTGGATATGGGTGCTGAAATTCAGGTTGTTGTTCGGAGGTATAGGCAAGGAATTTGCCCTCATTATTGTTTGGCAATTAGAGTGTTGTCGATCTTAATGTTAATTTGTGCATCTCCTGCTCTGCTACCAAACATAATATAGTAAGGTTTTTGTCAGTGTTAAGCGTAAGTTTATGGCTGTCATTCCAAGTCGATATTTTGATTCAGCTCCTCGTTAAAACAATGGTGTTGAGGGGTGGCAAAAGATTCAAGATTAGGGTGAGAGATGCATAAGTCGTGTCCGTCAGCAAAGAGAATTGGGTTTTCAGGTGTTGTAGGATACGTTTGGAAGATCATTGATGTATATGGGAGAGCAGGGCACCCAGGGACACTTCCTGCGGAAACTCAGTATCAAGTGCCGTGTATTTGATGCTGTGGTCTTTAATGGTGACAACTGAGCTATTAGTAAGGTAGAATTTGCGAAATATGCAAGCCGCCCATGGCTCTTATTACCATATGGTCAAGTTTTGTGGTAGTAGGATGTCGTGGTCTACTGTGTCAAAAGCTTTCTTAGGTCAATAAAAAAATCCAGGTAGATCTGGTCACCGATCATGACAAGTTACGAAGTATGGAGGGTGTGGGACGTGTGAATTAGCTCATTATCTATAATTTGTCCATTATTGTAACCATGTATAAGCGTAAGTAAATTTACTTACATGATTCTTTACTTGTAACTTGTGACAAGTTTCAATTACCTTTGTACTAGTTCAGCTGTCAAAACTTTGGGGAGCCCAGTCCCTGGGCCCATTATGTACCTCTGATACATTAGACATGGTAATAATATGACACGTCTTTGGTAAGTTGGAGAGAGTCTGGACGTGGTGACATCAAACCCAACCTCAGCCAACCAAAAATGGCACCAGTGCCGATGATTGATGGTTTCATCATTTTATACTAGAGCAGTGAACTACAGCAATGGTACCAAGCTAATTCAGTCTGGCCACAGACAAGCATCATCCACATATTTTGGTACCATCTTCTAGCATCAGTAGGTAAGCAGCACCTAAAGAGTTTCATTTACAAAGAGCCAATATACAAATTGCTGAGAATTGAGGTAATTTTCATTACCATACTGGAACAGGGTTTCGAGGTCGACGCCCTTGGTCTGGTTTGAGACCAGGCCTCATGGTGATCAGGGTCTGTTCAACCAGGCTGTTGCTGCTGGCCACACACAAACTGATGTATGAACACAAGGCCCGGATGGTCAGGTATGACATAAGGATGCCTGTCCAGTGCCTTCTTGAAGACAGCCAGGGGTCTATTGGTACCCTTATGTGTGAGGGGAGCAGTTGAACAATCTTGGGCCCTGACACTTATTGTGTTGTCTCTGAGTGTACTGGTGACACCTTGCTTTTCACTGGGGAGTGATTTTCATGTGCAAGTTTGTACTAATCCTCTTTAGGATTTTCAAGTGTATATTGTCATGTAATCTCTCTCACCTGCATTAAGAGGATACAAATCAAAGGACTTTACCGTGTCCAGTATTTTAGGTGCTTTATCATAACTTGTGTGTGCCGTGAAAGTTCTTTGTACACTCTCCAGGTCAGCCCAATTTTGCCCTGCCTTGAGGGCGGCAGTTAGTGTACAACACCTGTATTCCAGCTTGGCATCCCCTGGTTTTGAAGGTTCTCATTATCCATCCTATTATTTTTTCTAGCAGATGTTTTTGTGCACAGAAACTGTCAGTGTGAAGTCAAATTTGCCAGCTTTACAAGTTCAGTGATCCTTGTTTTTTCCAATCATGTTTCCTAAGTGTTTAACAGATCCATTTACTGGCACCTAAGAAAACAGTGCACCATGGCAGTAAAAATAAATACAGAGGCTTTAAAACCTTTAGTTATGTTTATAAAAGAAATTTCTCTTCTTTTTTGTTATCTGTGCTATTATTTGTATGCAGATCGGACACTTTATCACAACTGGGGACAGTTTAATAACTTGAGTCAAAAGAAAATGATATTGGCCTAGCTGGATTACTGTGTGGTTCATGATATAATGCAGGCAATAAATCTGTATGTTAACAGCTCAGAAGCTTAACAAAGGCAATGGTGAATATAGCTACAAAAGTAAAGGGGGATTAATAATAGTATCCTAGATACAGTGACAGGTATCACTTTATCAGGTGAGGAAGCAGCACTGTACCAACAGTGCAGGTTAGATGCTATATAAAAGGTTGGGCAGAGAACACTGTAATTAGGTGGCAGGTAGCACTGTGTTTAGGGATGGAGGTAGTATTAATTCAGGGATATAATAATAATAATGCCAGTATTGTATTTCCAGTAAATTTAGTATAAAAATTTTTTGTAGGAATTGGTGACCCCCCAATTATTACAGATTTAATGGAAAAAGCCCATTGCTGTGCAGTGTGTTCAGGACTATCTTAAAAATTATCTTAAAATTAGTGGTGCTAAAGCTCCCGCTTCACACCGGAGGATCCGGGTTTTCGGATTCCGGCGAGTGGAAACTATTTTGATGCATTTCCTAACACCTGTTGTCGTGTTCGCCTAGCAGCAATAGGTACATGGGTGTAGTCGACTGGTGTGGGTCGCATCCTGGGGGACAAGATGAGGACCCCAATGGGAAATATGTTAGACAGTCCTCCATGATGCACGACTTTATTGGAGTTATCTCGGTGCTTAACCCTTAGGGAGTTAAAAATCCGAATGAAATCTTATCTTAAAACTAGAGCAACAATGTTTTATTGCATGGTTTATTAGAATTACTACACTATATTATTTATTAACATGGTAACATTTATATAACACACGAGTAATAGCTATTGTCATAGTTAACATTGAAATAGAGTGAAAATGTGGTTATAAACATACAGTATTAAAATATAGTTGTGAAAGTTGGCATTGGGTATGAATGCTGATTAGATTAGACAGACATCTGCTGAAGAGGATCCAAGATGAAGGTCCAAAATATACAGATCAAGCGTCTCCTCTGGTTGGTCTCATGTGGGTCTATTAAAAACTGCGCCTAGACTAACTAGGTTGCTTCTGATGTATTGAACAATAAAATTATTTAATCTGCAAATTTATGTTATACTAATTAAGGTATTTTTCACAATATTTTTGACTGTAGTTGCAGGTAGGGGATCTTTCAGCATCACTTTGGCAAATAGTTCCAGATTTTAGGGTCTTCAATTTCCATGGAGTTTTTTACTTATATCAATGAAATGCTTGTCTTTAGTACAGGCTTACCTCACTGATAGGGCGGGTTAGGTTACAAACCGCCACCATAAAGTAAAGGAAGCCTCTCTCATTTAATGACGGATTTCCATTCTTAGCCATGTCAGTAAACGAGTCGTCGCTAAGTGAAGAGCATACTATAATGATCCAATGGGTTTGTGTCAACAATCTTGATATTGTTTTAATTTTACCTTGTACCATTTATAGTATTTTCTGGTATGCAGTGGTCCCCCCGCTTTTGTAGTTCCCGGCAATCGTAATTTCGCCAATCATAGGGTATTTCCTCGTATAAACATGGCTCGCTTTTCATTGGTTGACTCGCGAGTCATAGTTCGTCCGGGACACGTACTCATGGCGGGAGCCGTGGCGGCAGGCCAGTCTGGGCATTGTTTACCAGTGAGCGAAGGTCCCCTACGTGCTCCAGCGAAATATTTCATAATATTCCATTTTATTTTAGTGCTTGGCAAGTACAGTGGACCCCGGTTAACGATATTTTTTTCACTCCAGAAGTACGGTCAGGTGCCAGTACTGACCGAATTTGTTCCGTAGAATATTGTGAAGTAGATTAGTCATTTCAGCCCAAACATAAAGTTCAAAGGGCACTTACATAAATACACTTAATAATTGGACGCAATCGGAGGTGGATCGTTATGCGGGGGTCCACTGTTACTTAAAAAAAGCTCCATGGTCCAAAGAAAGCTCTAGTGCCAGCCTGTGGTAAAGAGGTGAGAAAACACGATGAATTTAGAAAACCGTCATTGAACAATATGGTACAATTGTGGCGAACTGTCCAGGATGTACGTATAAGAAAACCCTACACAACCTTATGTTCCATAGTGGCCAGAAAAAAGGAAATCAAGGATGCTGTTGTTGCAAAGGAGGGGTAAACTATGCTGACAAAAATAGATCACCGTATGGAGTGGTTGAGGTGAGGTTTGGATAAATGAGAAACAATTAGCAGGAGATACTTCTTTGACTTCGATTATATGTGAAAAGGCAGCCAGTTGCATGAAGATTTGGTAAAGAAATTTCCTGCAAATATGGTGATGTGGGTGAATTTAGGGCCAGCAAAGGCTGGTTGAGAGATTTAAGAATGTACTGGCATACACAGTGTGGTAAGCATTGTGAGGACTGCCAGTTCGAACCACAAGGAGGCTGAAAGATATGCTCACTTCCCCCCCCCCCCCCCCCCCCCCCCCCCCCCCCCCCCTCTAACTGCATAAATTCCAGGAGTACATAGAGTGAAGGATGAACCTGAACAAGTTCAATTGTGACGAAACAGGCCTCTTTTGGAAGAAAATGCCAAGAGACTTCATTACACAAGAGGAGAAAGAGTCAATTGCCAGGACACAGTCTATGAAAAGACAGACTGACGCTAAATGTTCTGTGATAATGCTAGTGGGGATTTCAAAGTTATGCCATTATAGTGTACCATTTTCTGAAAATTCCAGAGTGTTCAGGAAAAACTATGTTATAAAGAGTAAATTGTATGTTGTGTTTTGGAAATCTAATAGTAAGGCATGGGTCACGAGGGATATTGTCGTTGAGTGTTCAATGAAGTGTTTGCTCTGTGTGAAGGAGTATTCCTGGAAAAGAAATTGGATCTCAAGTGCTGTTAGTATTGGACAGTGCACCTACTCATCCTTCCAAACTTGGATGGACCTAATTTTCGAGGAGTTTGGGTTCTCACAGTAAAGTTCTTGCCCACAAATACCACTCCTCTCTCCAGCCCTGGGACCAGCATGTCATGCAAACTTTAAAAATCTACACAAAAGCAATGTTTCACAGGTGCTTGGATGTGACCACCAGACACTCACGGACCCTAGGAGATTTTGGAGAGAACAATTTCAGCATCCCCATTGCTAACCCTTATAGGTATGCTTGAGAGGAGTGACTACCGGACTTTGAACTCTGCCTGGGAAAATTGTGGCCCAGATTGTGTCGACAGAGGGATTTTGAAGGGTTTGGAACTGACCCTCATGAGCCTATGTCTGTTGTAAAATTAATTGTGGACTGGAGAGGTTCCATGGGGTTGGATGTGAGTTTGGAGGATGTGGAAGAATTGGTGGAAGATTACAATGAAAGAGCTCACCATAGGGCTGCAAGAGCTTCAGCAGGAAGTGCAACTCATCGCAGCTCAGAATCTTGCTGCAGAGAGGAGGAAGAGGAGATGGAAGAAGTTGCTTCTTCAGAAATTAAGAGATTTTTACTATGTGGGTAAGATGAAAAAGCTTTATGGAGAACATCACCCTAAACAGTTGTTGCAGCCATAGGCAACATGTACAGTGACAAAAGTCTTGGGCCATTTTGGAAAGTTGTTAAAGAGATGCCAGAACAGAGTCTCTCCACAGTTATTGTGCGGAGACAGGACTCAGTGACTCTCAAGGTGGTCCTAGTGGCATTAAGAAACAGAGAAGACCAAGAACCCCAGAAATGCAATTGGTACTGAGGTGTTGCTTGGAAGGGGAATTCCACTTCCAAACTATAAACAATTCCCTTTCTTATCACTCCTCCAGTCTCCCATGCACTTAGAAGAACGCAATAAAGGTAAGTGTTATGCGGTTAATGGTTTCATCATCATTTTCCCATTGTATTGTTTATGTACTACATGTATATTCATGTAAAAAAAATTTTTGTTTTAATACTTCTGGGTGTCAGGAGTGGATTAATTGAATTTACATTATTTCTTATGGGGAAATTGATTCGTAATCTTAAAATTTCGTTTATAGTAACGGCTCCAGGAACGGGGGAATTAAATTACGAAAAAACTGTGGGACCATGTATTTTTAAATGTTTTACAGTAGTGTACTGTAGTGGAACCTTGGGTTTTGTCTTTAATCATTGCAGAAAGTCTGACAAAAACTAAATTCGATTGAAAACTGGAAGCAACATTTTCCCATAAGAAATAATTGTAAATCCAATTAGTCCGTTCCAGACACCAAAAGTATTAACAAAAAAATATATATTATAGGAGATAACTTAGTTTTACATTCAGAAAAAATGAGAAATAAATATAAAGGACTAATGAAATGGATAAATGAACATTTAACATAACTTTTACTTTATTGAAGAACTTTGGTGGTGTATGGAAGATGGCAAGGAGGGGAGAGGGAGGAGAGGTTATTGTTTGAATGGGGAATCCCCTTCCTAAGGATTTCAGGTATCAAGTCCCATCTGGGGTTACTTCCCTTCTTTGTCTTCTACTGGCACTAGGACCAGCTATGAGTTACTGGACCACTGTCACAAAAATCTGTTCAGAGAGTGTTTGTTTCTAGTGTCTTTAAGATTTGCCTAAAATGGGACAAGGCATTGTCATTGTCCTGACAAGATCAACCACACATACATCACTTTTCATACTTTAGCTACCAGTTCTTGAATTCTGTCATGTTTTCTCACCTTCTTTATCTAAGGGCTGGGAACTAGGAACTTTCTTTGGGCCCCATAGTGGCTTATTTAGCAGTCGACGTCAATTAACATGCACAAAAAAGTTGATTATTACAAAATGTTTTTATATGAATGCGCGGGGTAATGTTCACTCGATGAGAAACAAAAGGCCTAACTGACTCAGAATGTGTGTGTGCGATGCCTTTGTATCGGCACAAGTTCAGGCGGGACACGTTCGGTATGGCGGGATGAGGAATCGAGGTGATGAAACAACAAATGGTAAAAATTTTGACGAAATAGTCGTGAAAAAACCGAAATTCGGCGGCCAAACCAGGGCAATTTGAAAATCGAGGTTCACTGTACGTATATTTGTAATAAACAGAATAGAGGAAATCCAGCACTAATGTTCATTATTTAGGGATGCATACGGGTCAAGGAGCCTGTTGTAAGTCCAAGACGTTGGTTAACGAGTACATTGCTAAGTGAGGAGAGGCTGTATTGCCTTCAAGCAAATCATGGCCTCTTTTTTTCATTTTTTTTTTTTTTCAACACGAGGGTCGTCTCCCATCAAGGCAGGGTGACTCAAAAAGAAACTCCCCAAAAAGAAAAATACTTTCATCATCATTCAACAATTTCAGCTCATTCATACATAATCACTGTCTCTGTAGAGGTGCTCACATACGACAGTATTAGATATCCCTCCAAACTGCCAGTATCTCAAACCCCTCCTTTAAAGTGCAGGCATTGTACTTCCCATTTCCAGAACTCAAATATGGCTAACTAGTTTCCCTGAATCCCTTCACAAAATATTACCCTGCTCACGCCTCAACAGCTCATCAGGTTCCAAAAACCATTCGTCTCGATTCACTCCTATCTAACACGCTAACACATGCTTGCTGGAAGTCCAAGCCCCTCTCCCACAAAACCTCCTTTACCCCCTCCCTCCAACCTTTTCGAGGACGACCCCCTACCCCGCCTTCCTTCCCCTACAGATTTATACGCTCTCCAAGTCATTCTACTTTGATCCATTCTCTCTAAATGCCCAAACCACCACAACAACCCCTCTTCAGCCCTCTGACTAATACTTTTAGTAACTCCACACCTCCTAATTTCCACACTCTGAATTCTCTGAGTAATATTTACACTACACATTGCCCTTAGACAGGACATCTCCACTGCCTCCAGCTGCTTGTTTGCTGCAGCATTTGCAACCCAAGCTTCACACCCATGTAAGAGTGTTGATACCACTATATTTTCATACATTCCCTTCTTTGCCTCCATGGATAACATTTTTTTTCTCCACAGACACCTCAATGCACCACTCACCTTTTTTCCTTCATCAATTCTTTGGTTAGCCTTATCCTTCATAAACCCATCCGCTGACACGTCACGTATGGAATATGTGAAAACATTCACTTATTCCATACTCCCTCTCTCCAATGTGATATCCAGTTTTTCTTTATCTAAATCATTTGATACCCTCATCACCTTACTCTTATCTGTGTTCACTTTCAACTTTCTACCTAACCTTTGCAATTTTTCTTTAGAATCTCCCATAAGCACAGTATCATCAGCAAAAAGTAACTGTGTCAACTCCCATTTTGTATTTGATTCCCCATAATTTAATCCCACCCCTCTCCCCAACACCCTAGCATTTACTTTTTTTACAACCCCATCTATAAATATATTAAACAACTATGGTGACATTACACATCCCTGTCTAAGACCTACTTTTATTGAGAAGTACTCTCCCTCTCTCCTACACACCCTAATCTGAGCCTCACTATCCTCATAAAAACTCTGTACAGCATTTAATAACTTACTACCTATTCCATACACTTGCAACATCTGCCACATTGCTCCCCTATCCACTCTATCATATGTTTTTTCTAAATCCATAAATGCAATGAAAACTTCCCTACCTTTATCTAAATACTGTTCACATATATACTTCAATGTAAACACTTGATCTACACATCCCCTACCCACTCTAAAGCCTCCTTGCTCATCTG